CATACCTTCGTTTTGAAGATGTTGAGGGGCGAGTCCATTGTTCGTTCGTCATGGGCAAGGCCCGGTTAGCTCCAATCAGAGAAATTTCCATCCCAAGACTTGAGTTAACTGCAGCAGTCATCTCTGTGAAACTCAGCCATGCTATCCGTGATGAATTAGATCTGACCGTGAACAAAGTCATTTACTGGACAGATTCCAGCTCTGTTTTGAAGTGTATAAACAATGAAACCAAGAGATTTCACACCTTCGAGTCCAACCGCCTGACGATTATACACGATGGTTCTGCTCCCCAAGAATGGCGATATGTCAACAGAGACGAGAACCCGGCAGATGATGGATCAAAGGGTCTAAAGCTAGACGTTCTGATCAAGAACAACCGATGGCTGACAGGTCCTAAGTTTTTGTGGAAAGGGGGAGAATACTGGCCAAAGATGATTGAGGTTCCTTGCCTCAAGGATGAAGATCCAGAAGTCAGAAAGGAGAATCAAGTTTATGTGACAGCGGTCAGTTGTGATGTCGTGGAGAAGCTTATTCTGTACTATTCATCCTGGTGGAAGCTCAAGGTAGCAATTGCCTGGTTGCTGCGCTATAAACAGTATCTTATGAACAAGTTTCTACAACTCAGAGGAGGTTGCCCAACCACACATGATTCAGCGGAAGGAAGGAATTACCTCAAACTTGACGAGCTTCGCGAGGCAGAGCATGAAATCATGCGCTATGTTCAACGCAAAGAGTTCCCTGATGTAACAGCTCTCCAGCCAGGAGCGGATGAAAGGTCAGTAAAGAGGCTAATGAAAAAGATGGGAGCTTCAATAAGCAAGTTAAATCCTCAAGTTCAAGATGGATTGCTGAGAGTAGGAGGCCGTATTGGACGTGCGCCTTTGTCTTACGAGTTGAAACACCCAGTTATTTTGCCCTACAAGCATCACATCACAGATTTAATAATCAGAGCTCATCACCTCAAAGTGGGACACATGGGCCAAGAGTCAGTTCTGTCGTCGTTGAGACAGAAGTATTGGATTTTGAAGGGCAGATCTGCAGTGCGCCGGGTGCTAAGCAAGTGCCTTGACTGTCAGAAGAGAAGTGCAAAACCGGCAGAGCAGTTCATGGCAGAACTCCCAGCAGATCGCGTGACTCCAAGTGAACCACCCTTTTCATATGTTGGAATCGATTGTTTTGGCCCAATCGAAGTGAAACAGGGAAGATCACACATCAAGAGGTACGGCTGCCTCTTTACATGTTTAACTGTACGTGCAGTACACGTCGAGATTTTGCACTCGCTGAGTGCCGATTCTATGATAAACGCCTTGAGAAGGTTTATTAGCATGCGAGGTTGCCCCAAGGAGATTCGAAGTGACAACGGAACAAATTTCACAAAGGCTGACAAAGAGTTGAGAGAAACTGTACAACTCTGGAACAACCAAAGAATCAGTAATTTCTGTGCTCAGAAAGAAATCAAGTGGACATTCAATCCACCAGACGCGAGCCATATGGGGGGACCATGGGAGAGGATGATTCAAACTACTAAGCGAGTGTTGAAGGCTTTGTTGAAGGAACAGTTGGTGACAGATGAAGTCCTTTCTACTGTCATGGCAGAAGCTGTCAACATTGTCAACAGCCGTCCCTTAACACGCAACAGCGATAGTTCCTTAGATGATCAGCCAATTACCCCCAACCATTTGTTGCATTTGCGCCCAACGCCCAGTTTACCGCCAGGTGTGTTTGACAAAGGAGATCTTCACTGCAAGCGTGCATGGAGACAAGCTCAGTATTTGGCTGGTGTGTTCCGGCGGAGATGGTCCAGCGAGTACTTGCCAACCCTTATGGAGAGACAGAAATGGAAGATGCCTAAGCCAAACATCAAAGAAGGGGACTTGGTCCTATTGGCAGATGAAAGTTACCCTCGTGGCCAGTGGCCGATCGCACGTGTGGAGGAAGTTGTTGTCAGCAGAGACGGGTATGTGCGTACCGTTCGAGTGAAGACTGCCTGTACAGTGGCGACTCGTGCTAAGAGAAGACGCCGCAGAGAGCTGAAGACTAGCAGTGTGATAGTCACTCGGCCAATCACAAGTTTATGTCCTTTAGAGATGGACTGATTTAGAACTGTGGGAATGTATCCCATGA